GATGCTCTATTGTGACAACCAAACTGCTACCAACATTGCACATAATCCTGTTCAGCATGACAGAACTAAGCACATTGAGATTGATAGGCATTTCATAAGGGAAAGAGTCTCTTCAGGAGAAGTTTGTTTACCATTTATCACATCAGAAGAGCAATTGGCTGATATCTTGACCAAGGGAGTTCCCAGGGGGAAATTGACACACTATATAAGCAAGTTGGGCATGATTGACATCTATGCTCAGCTTGAGGAGGAGTGTAAAGAGGCTGGGCCGAATGGGCCCTAACAGCCTCTCATGTGATATCATTTATTTTATCTTTTATTTTATGTTGATGGGCCTCACTTAATGGGCCTGTTATTTGTTCTTATTTTACTTTCTTTATGTAACTGCCAAGTTGGCCGCCCACTTAAGGGTATACTTATCATCATCAATTTTTTAGAGATTAATAAAAAAATAGGGTTAGAGGAGAAGGGTGATTAATTCGACTTCTTCTTCTCTTACCTCTTCTCTTCACCATCTTCCTCTCTTATACAGTTATTCAGATCTGTTCTATTATGCTAATCACTAAATTTAATCCTGATATTAGAGGACTGATTTACATCTCCCATGAATTTTGATAAATAACACCTGATTGGCTACCACATTTACGATTCCAGTTGAATGGTCAGAAGTTTTTCAGGTATCATATCTTTCCGATATCATAGCTGAACCCCATAAAATAACATATATGCGTATGTATATTGTTATGTATAAAATACATATATTTGAATATTGCAGACTGGGCTAGGTTTGAAGTAGTAGGCCCAGGCCCAACCCTAAAATTTGTGGGCCAGGTGCGGGCCTGGCCTGAGCCGAGCGTGAACACAAAACCTAGGCCCAAGCCTGGAAGTTTTGGGCTGAAAACAAAACCTAGGCCCAAGCCCGGAAGTTTTGGGCTGGGAAGAAATGATCACCCCTACCTTCAAGAGATTCTTAACTGAATTCCAGTGAAAGTACAGCTATTTCCAACTTTCAAGAAGTCTCACCAAACACAACTTTTTAGGAGTCTGCATAGCCAATGTTAAGTGCCTATAAGCTTCACCCAAGGTTTAAAATGTTGATGTCGATGGAAATGTCGCTTACCAAAATATAGGACATATGTCGGAAATGTCGAGGAGAAATATTGTAAAAATTAGAGACATTGTGGAAATATTATGAAATATGTGGAAATATGCAAAGATATTTTGTAAAATGATAAAAGAAGCATTAATACATATTTCTAGACTATTATCTTATTACCAACCATTATATAAAGCTAAGAAACTAAGATCAATAACAAATTAGTAAATGACGATTT